TGGATTGACTGACTGAGATGGCTGGCTGATGTACCACCACCTGTGCTCCCCACTGTGCAATTCGCCGCGTTTTATCCGCCGAGCGCTCCGCTCGTTGTTGTGAGCGTCACTTCTCTGCCCTCCGCTGTTGTTGGAGGGCGACTGCCTCCAAATGCCCAGTAGCAGCGTCCTTCACGAGCCACCTCCACAGAGGCCGATCTTGACACCGCTGTTACCGGTCATTGGCAAGTCCACTCAGCTCCACCTTGTCATGTACTGCATCATTCCATCTCTTCTCTAGCCCGTGCCGTGCCGGTTTAACCGGCTCTATCCGACCAAACGGAAACCGCTTTGGCATGCGGTGGCTGGACATGTGGGCTACATGACCCAGCCACCCCAGCCTCGTCTGCCAGAGGAGCTCACTGATGGGCAAGTTTCCAGATCTTTCATGGATCTGTGAGCTCCTCACACAACCCAGCCTGGTTAAACCACAATGAATGGCAGGCAGGCCAGCCTGAATGTTTCAAGCCGGCGCAGATGTTCCTTTAGAGGGCTCCGCGTCTTGCAAGCACAGCGCAGGGAGGGAATTACTGTGGCTGAGTAAAACCCGGAGCGTCGTGTGGAGCGGCAGATCAGGTAGCTTCCACGCAGCGTTATTCAGCCGATGAACAGACAATGTCACCTCGACTGTTTCGGAGTGAGACCTCTGGTGCCAAACCGGAGCTGATCATCATCATCACACTGCCCACGAATTGGAACTCCTAAACTCTCTCCACAACGGCGCTCTCACTCATGGGGAGTTGAGGGGGTGGACTATTTGATGACATAAAATAGCCAGGCAGTTTTGGTGGGGCTGATGGTAAGACCCCGCCTCTTAGTGGCACACTCCAGGTTCAGCAGCAGCGCCTCCAACTCCTCCTCTGAGTGAGCAGCAATCACCAGGTCATCGGCAAACATAACGTGGTTGACCAATAGGAACCCATCCCTTGACCGAACCCGGGCATCGATCAGCTTCCCATTGTATCTGTACCTGATGTAAATTAGCTTGGTACTGCCATTGAAGGCTTCTCGAACTACGTGGTAGTAAAATGTGTTAAATAATGTAGGAGCAAGAGGATATCCCTGACACACCTCAAGGTGTACAGGGAATGTCTCTGACTCCCGGCCACGCAGCTTTACCCGGGCCTGCTCACCATCATGAGGTCCTTAATGGTCGTGAGCAGAGAGTCAGGGACACCAAAAGCACGAAGAACAACCCAGAGCCCAGGCCTACTGATGGTATCATAGGCCTTGACCAGGCCAATAAAGCAGAGATGTAGGTCCCATTTAAATTCCCCACACCTCTGCTCCAAAAGACGGATAGAGAATATGGCGTCCGTGCAGGACCGCCTCGGTCTGAAACCACTTTGGGGCTCCGCAAGCCTCTCAGCGTGCTGCCTGGCAAGGGGGCGATGTTGAATAATCCTTGCCAGCCTCACACAATGCCGTGTTTGTGACACGCACTATCACACACATAAACACGTGGTATCACACACACACGGGGTGTCACACACACACACGTGGTCTCTCACACACACACACACGTGGTCTCACACACACACACACGTGGTGTTACACACAGACACGTGGTGTCACACACACACACACACGTGGTCTCACACACACACACACGTGGTGTTACACACACACACACGTGGTGTCTCTCTCACACACACACACGTGGTGTCTCTCTCACACACACACGTGGTGTCACACACACACACACGCGGTGTCACACACACACGTGGTGTCACACACACACGTGGTGTCACACACACGTGGTGTCACACACACACACGTGGTGTCACACACACACACACGTGGTGTCTCACACACACGTGGTGTCTCACACACACACCGTGGTGTCACACACACACACGTGGTGTCTCACACACACACACGTGGTGTCACACACACACACCACACGTGGTGTCTCACACACACACACGTGGTGTCTCACACACCACACGTGGTGTCACACACATACACACACGTGGTGTCACACACATACACACACGTGGTGTCTCACACACACGTGGTGTCTCACACACACACGTGGTGTCTCACACACACACACGTGGTGTCACACACACACACACGCGTGGTGTCACACACACACACACGCGTGGTGTCACACACACACACGTGGTGTCTCACACACACACACACGTGGTGTCACACACACGTGGTATCACACACACGTGGTGTCACACACACACACACGTGGTGTCACACACACACACGTGGTGTCTCACACACACACACGTGGTGTCACACACACACACGTGGTGTCACACACACACACGTGGTGTCTCACACACACACACACACGTGGTGTCACACACACACGTGGTGTCACACACACACACGTGGTGTCACACACACACACGTGGTGTCTCACACACACACACACACGTGGTGTCTCACACACACACACACGTGGTGTCACACACACACGTGGTGTCTCACACACACACACACGTGGTGTCACACACACACACGTGGTCACACACACACACGTGGTGTCACACACACACACACACGTGGTGTCTCGCACACACACACGTGGTGTCACACACACACACGTGGTGTTACACACACACACGTGGTGTCTCACACACACACGTGGTGTCTCACACACACAAGTGGTATCACACACACACACAAGTGGTATCACACACACACACACGTGGTGTCTCACACACACGTGGTGTCTCACACACACGTGGTGTCTCACACACACGTGGTGTCACACACACACACGTGGTGTTACACACACACACGTGGTGTTACACACACACACGTGGTGTTACACACACACACGTGGTGTCTCATACACACACACACGTGGTGTCTCACACACACACGTGGTGTCTCACACACACACATGTGGTGTCTCACACACACACGTGGTGTCTCACACACACACGTGGTGTCTCACACACACACACGTGGTGTCACACACACACACACGTGGTGTCACACACACACACAAGTGGTGTCACACACACACGTGGTGTCACACACACACGTGGTGTCACACACACACACGTGGTGTCACACACACACACACGTGGTGTCACACACACACACACGTGGTGTCACAGACACACACAAGTGGTGTCACACACAGACGTGGTCTCACACACACACACGTGGTGTCTCACACACACACGTGCGCGGGTTTCCCCGCCATGCGCTCTCTTGAATGTGTCAAAGAGAAACGACCCCACGCAAAGACAAAGATCCCCCATATAGCCTCAGCATAGCCTTGGGCCAAGTGGTATTAGCGAGCACACAGCCTCACGCACATACATCATTCACACACACACATAATTCACACACACATCATTCACACACACACATTCACACATCATTCACACACACACATTCACACATCATTCACACACACATCATTCTCACACACACACACATCATTCACACACACACGGTGACACAGACGCACACGCAAACTCTCACACGCGCTGGCACGCGCATACACATCACTTGTTGACACGCACTCACACGCGGTAACGTCACCACGGAGCTTGTGCCAGGCTAGGTGCACACACATACACCAACATTAAAACACTGTATTCTCACGACACACGAGGGGGTGGGTGGCCAGCACCACGCCCGGCCGCCTTTGTCTCCCCAGTGGCGATGTTTACACACTGCACCAGGTACTCATTTGAGGCTGAGTCGCCCTAGGGCAGGCCCAGGACCGGTTCAGATAATTATGGTCACCGGTGTTCGTGGCCGTGAGCGGGAGTCGAACTCGGATCGCCGGGTTTGTAGCGCAGCGCGCTAACCGCTGCACCACCGCTCCTGCCCACAGTGACACGCGCGCACACGAACACAACAAAGGCAAACGGTACCCATATAGCCTTCACAGACTGTAGGGGCAAGTGCTATTCGCGAGCACTCACACACTCACACACACACTCACACACTCACGCACACTCACGCACACTCACACACATTCACACACACACATTCACACACATTCACACACACTCACACATTTACACACACACACATTTACACACACATTCACACACACACTCACACACATTCACACGAACACGCACACTCACACATTCACACACACATTCACACATTCACACACACTCACACATTCACACAAACACATTCACACACACATTCAAACACTCACACACGTGCGCACACACACTTACGCACACATCCCCACACACACATTCACACACACTCACACACACATCCACACACACATTCATACACACTCACACACACACATTCACACACACACGCACACACACACACTCACACACACATTCACACACACACTCACACACACTCACACACACACATTCACACATTCACACACACTCACACACACACACGTTCACACTCACACACACACACTCACACACACACGCACACACACACTCACGCACACACACACACGTTCACACTCACACACACTCACACACACACACTCACGCACACACACACACACGTTCACACTCACACACTCACACACACACGCACACACACACTCACACACGTTCACACTCACACACACGCACACACACACTCACACACACACACACGCACACACACACACTCACACACACTCACACACACACACTCACACACACACATTCACACACACACTCACACACTCACACACACACATTCACACACACGCACACACACGCACACACACACACATTCACACGCACACACTCACACACACATTCACACACACACACTCACTCACACACACTCACACACACACACTCACACACACACGCACACACACACACACACGCACACACACACACATTCACACACACACTCACGCACACACACACACTCACACACTCACTCACACACACACTCACACACTCACACACACACACTCACACACACACATTCACACACACACACACTCACACACGTTCACACACACACACTCACACACACATTCACACACACACACTCACACACACATTCACACACACACACTCACACACACATTCACACACACACACTCACGCACGTGCGCACTGGGCCTGAACGCGGAACTGCACTCCGAGTCCCGGGGCTGGCGGTGGTGGTGGTGGAGGCGGCGCCGCCCATCGAGTCGGCAGGGAGCCGGGCCCCGAGAGTCTCCTCCAGCGGGAGCCCAGCAGAGGGACTCGGACCCCGGATCCCGAACCCCCCACAGGTGAGCGGGGACTCAACCCCCACCCCAACCCCCAGCCCCCCACCACTCCACGGGGACTCAACCCATACCCCCACCTGCTCCCCCCCCAGCCCCCCACCACTCCACGGGGACTCAACCCCCACCCCAACCCCCACCCCCACCTGCTCCCCCGCCAGCCCCCCACCACTCCCCGGGGACTAATAGGAAGTGTGAGTGCCGGTGAATAGCTACAACCTCTACCCCTTAACTCGTACCCCTAACCCGTACCCCCTAACTCGTACCCCCTAACTCGTACCTCTTAACCCGCACCCCTAACCCGTACCCCCTAACTCGTACCCCCTAACTCGTACCTCTTAACCCGTACCCCTAACCCGTACCCCCTAACTCGTACCCCCTAACTCGTACCCCCTAACCACACCTTAACCCGTACCCCTAACCCGTACCCCCTAACTCGTACCTCTTAACCCGTACCCCTAACCCGTACCCCTAACCCGTACCCCCTAACTCGTACCCCCTAACTCGTACCTCTTAACCCGTACCCCTAACCCGTACCCCCTAACTCGTACCCCCTAACCACACCTTAACCCGTACCCCTAACCCGTACCCCCTAACTCGTACCTCTTAACCCGTACCCCTAACCCGTACCCCTAACCCGTACCCCCTAACTCGTACCCCCTAACTCGTACCTCTTAACCCGTACCCCTAACCCGTACCCCCTAACTCGTACCCCCTAACTCGTACCCCCTAACCACACCTTAACCCGTACCCCTAACCCGTACCCCCTAACTCGTACCTCTTAACCCGTACCCCTAACCCGTACCCCCTACCCCTACTGTCAACCCCTAACCACACCCTACACCCCTACTGTGTACCACTAACCACACCCTACACCCTACTGTGTACCCCTAACCACACCCTACACCCCTACTGTGTACCCCTAACAACACCCTACACCCCTACTGTGTACCCCTAACCACACCCTACACCCCTACTGTGTACCCCTAACCACACCCTACACCCCTACTGTGTACCCCTAACCACACCCTACACCCCTACTGTGTACCCCTAACCACACCCTACACCCCTACTGTGTACCCCTAACAACACCCTACACCCCTACTGTGTACCCCTAACCACACCCTACACCCCTACTGTGTACCCCTAACCACACCCTACACCCCTACTGTGTACCCCTAACCACACCCTACACCCCTACTGTGTACCCCTAACCACACCCTACACCCCTACTGTGTACCCCTAACAACACCCTACACCCCTACTGTGTACTCCTAACCACACCCTACACCCCTACTGTGTACCCCTAACCACACCCTACACCCATACTGTGTACCCCTAACAACACCCTACACCCCTACTGTGTACCCCTGACCCCCAATCCGAACCCCTCTAACTCCATCCCCTTGCGCATAGCCAGGGGTCAGGACAGTGGCTGGCGTAGTGCGCTAACCACTGCGCCACCACTCCTCGGTGACCCTGCACACCATCACACGTGGGTGTGATGGTGAGTGATGTGATGGTGATGTGGGTGTGATGGTGAGTGATGTGATGGTGATGGGGGTGTGATGGTGATGTGGGTGTGATGGTGAGTAATGTGATGGTGATGTGGGTGTGATGGTGAGTGATGTGATGGTGATGGGGGTGTGATGTTGATGTGGGTGTGATGGTGAGTGATGTGATGGTGATGTGGGTGTGATGGTGAGTGATGTGATGGTGATGTGAGTGTGATGGTGATGTGGGTGTGATGGTGATGTGGGTGTTATGCTGAGTGATGGGTGGTGATGTGGGTGTGATGGTGAGTGATGGGTGGTGATGTGGGTGTGACGGTGAGTGATGTGATGGTGATGTGGGTGTGATGGTGAGTGATGTGATGGTGATGTGGGTGTGATGGTGAGTGATGGATGGTGATGTGGGTGTGATGGTGAGTGATTGGTGGTGATGTGGGTGTGATGGTGAGTGATGTGATGGTGATGTGGGTGTGATGATGAGTGATGTGATGTAGGTGTGATGGTGATGTGGGTGTGATGGTGATGTGGGTGTGATGGTGAGTAATGTGATGGTGATGTGGGTGTGATGGTGAGTGATGTGATGGTGATGTGAGTGTGATGGTGATGTGGGTGTGATGGTGATGTGGGTGTTATGCTGAGTGATGGGTGGTGATGTGGGTGTGATGGTGAGTGACGTGATGGTGATGTGGGTGTGATGGTGAGTAATGTGATGGTGATGTGGGTGTGATGGTGATGTGGTGTGATGGTGAGTGATGGGTGGTGATGTGGGTGTGATGATGAGTGATGTGATGGTGATGTGGGTGTGATGGTGATGTGGGTGTGATGGTGATGTGGGTGTGATGGTGATGTGGGTGTGATGGTGATGTGGGTGTTATGCTGAATGATGGATGGTGAGTGATGTGATGGTGATGTGGGTGTGATGGTGATGTGGGTGTGATGCTGAGTGATGTCATGGTGATGTGGGTGTGATGGTGAGTAATGTGATGGTGATGTGGGTGTGATGGTGAGTGATGTGATGGTGATGGGGGTGTGATGTTGATGTGGGTGTGATGGTGAGTGATGTGATGGTGATGTGGGTGTGATGGTGAGTGATGTGATGGTGATGTGGGTGTGATGGTGATGTGGGTGTGATGGTGATGTGGGTGTGATGGTGATGTGGGTGTGATGCTGAGTGATGTGATGGTGATGTGGGTGTGATGGTGAGTGATGGGTGGTGATGTGGGTGTGATGGTGATGTGGGTGTGATGGTGAGTGATGTGATGGTGATGGGGGTGTGATGGTGATGTGGGTGTGATGGTGAGTATGTGATGGTGATGTGGGTGTGATGGTGAGTGATGGGTGGTGATGTGGGTGTGATGGTGAGTATGTGATGGTGATGTGGGTGTGATGGTGAGTGATGGGTGGTGATGTTGGTGTGATGGTGATGTGGGTGTGATGGTGATGTGGGTGTGATGCTGAGTGATGTGATGGTGATGTGGGTGTGATGCTGAGTGATGTGATGGTGATGTGGGTTTAATGGTGATGTGGGTGTGATGGTGAGTAATGTGATGGTGATGTGGGTGTGATGGTGAGTGGTGTGATGGTGATGGGGTGTGATGGTGAGTAATGTGATGGTGATGTGGGTGTGATGTTGAGTGATGGTGAGTGATGTGATGGTGATGTGGATGTGATGCTGATGCTGTGTTATGGTGAGTAATGTGATGTGGGTGTGATGCTGTGTGAGGGTGAGTAATGTGATGTGGGTGTGATGGTGATGGAGGTTAATATGGGTAGAAGAAGGTTAGCAATGGGTGTCGATGCTGCTGCTGCTGCTAATGTTGGTGGTGATGGTGCTACTGGTGATGAGGGTGATGGGGGTGATTGAGCTGATGGTGGTGGTTATGGTGATGATGGTGGTGATTTCGGTGGTGATGGTGCTGATGGCGATGTCCCTGTGCCAGGAGGCCATGGCGAGCGCCGTGGTGCCCAGCGCGGGCCCCGGGAGGAGGGGGCATGGGGGAGGAGAAATCTCGCAAGACGCTCCTCTCGGGCATGGGCATGGGCAAGAAGGAGAAGAGTACGGAGCACGCATACCGCACCGCGTCCCCCTGACCCCGTGTCTCCCTGTGTCTCCCTGTCCCCGTGTCTCCCTGTGTCTCCCTGTCCCCGTGTCTCCCTGTCTCCGTGTCCCCGTGTCTCCCTGTCTCCCTGTCCCCGTGTCTCCCTGTGTCTCCCTGTCCCCGTGTCTCCCTGTCTCCGTGTCCCCGTGTCTCCCTGTGTCTCCCTGACCCCGTGTCTCCCTGTGTCTCCCTGTCCCCGTGTCTCCCTGTGTCTCCCTGTCCCCGTGTCTCCCTGTGTCTCCCTGTCCCCGTGTCTCCCTGTCTCCGTGTCCCCGTGTCTCCCTGTGTCTCCCTGTCCCCGTGTCCCCGTGTCTCCTTAACCCCGTGTCTCCCTGTGTCTCCCTGTCCCCGTGTCCCCGTGTGTCCCTGTCCCCGTGCCCCCCTAACCCCGTGTCTCCCTAACTCCGTGTCTCCCTAACCCCGTGTCTCCCTGTGTCTCCCTGTCCGCGTGTCTCCCTGTCCCCGTGTCCCCGTGTCTCCCTAACCCCGTGTCTCCCTGTGTCTCCCTGTCCCCGTGTCCCCCTAACCCCGTGTCTCCCTAACCCCGTGTCTCCCTAACCCCGTGTCTCCCTCACCCCGTGTCTCCCTGGCCCCATGTCTCCCCGTGTCTCCCTGACCCCGTGTCCCGGTGTCTCCCTGTCCCCGTGTCTCCCTGACCCCATGACCCCATGTCTCCCTCACCCCGTGACCCCGTGTCTCCCTGGCTCCGTGTCTCCCTGACCCCGTGTCTCCCTGACCCCGTGTCCCCGTGTCTCCCTGACCCCGTGTCTCTCTGACCCCATGACCCCATGTCTCCCTCACCCCGTGACCCCGTGTCTCCCTGGCTCCGTGTCTCCCTGACCCCGTGTCCCCGTGTCCCCGTGTCTCCCTGTCCGCGTGTCCCCGTGTCTCCCTGGCCCCGTGTCTCCCTGGCCCCGTGTCTCCCTGGCCCCGTGTCTCCCTGACCCCGTGTCCCCCTGTGTCTCCCTGTCCCCGTGTCTCCCTGGCCCCGTGTCCCCCTGTGTCTCCCTGGACCCGTGTCTCCCTGGCCCCGTGTCTCCCTGTCCCCGTGTCTCCCTGGCCCCGTGTCTCCCTGTCCCCGTGTCTCCCTGGCCCCGTGTCTCCCTGACCCCGTGTCCCCCTGTGTCTCCCTGGCCCCGTGTCTCCCTGTCCCCGTGTCTCCCTGGCCCCGTGTCTCCCTGTCCCCGTGTCTCCCTGGCCCCGTGTCTCCCTGACCCCGTGTCCCCCTGTGTCTCCCTGACCCCGTGTCCCCCTGTGTCTCTCACCCCGTGTCCCCGTGTCTCCCTGACTCCGTGACCCCATGAACCCGTGACCCCGTGTCTCCCTGACCCCGTGACCCCGTGTCTCCCTGACCCCGTGACCCCGTGTCTCCCTGACCCCGTGACCCCGTGTCTCCCTGTCTCCATGCAGAGAAGCCGGTGCAGCGTCTGGAGATCTCGGCTCCGTCTGACTTTGCTCACCGCGTCCACGTGGGATTCAACTCCACCACGGGGGAGTTCACCGTGAGCCATGCTCCCCAAACATGCCCATGGCCATTTCCCCACGTGCTTGTAGCCCCACGTGTCTACGGTATCCCGGCGCCCTTCCACATCTCCCTGTCCCCAGGGTCATCGTGTTCCTCAAATTCCACGGCCCCCTCGGCTTTACGTGTCCCCGTCTCCTCCCCACGTCCCTCCGTGTTTGGCTCTGGTCGTAGTGGTGAGCCAGGCCACTCGTGAGTCATGCGGCTCCCCCGGTCTGTCCACCACTCGCCTGGCTGCACAAACCCCACTAGACACTCCCCCCACCACCACCCCACTAGACACTCCCCCCCACCACCACCCCACTAGACACTCCCCCCCCACCACCACCCCACTAGACACTCCCCCCCCACCACCACCCCACTAGACACTCCCCCCCACCACCACCCCACTAGACACTCCCCCCCACCACCACCCCACTTGACACTCCCCCCCACCACCCCACTAGACACTCCCCCCCCCACCACCCCTCTAGACACTCCCCCCACCACCACCCCACTTGACACTCCCCCCCACCACCACCCCACCTGACACTCCCCCCCACCACCCCACTAGACACTCCCCCCCCACCACCACCCCACTAGACACTCCCCCCCACCACCCCACTAGACACTCCCCCCCACCACCACCCCACTTGACACTCCCCCCCACCACCACCCCACTAGACACTCCCCCCCCACCACCACCCCACTAGACACTCCCCCCCACCACCACCCCACTAGACACTCCCCCCACCACCACCCCACTAGACACTCCCCCCCACCACCACCCCACTAGACACTCCCCCCACCACCACCCCACTAGGCACTCCCCCCCACCACCACCCCACTAGATACTCCCCCCCACCACCACCCCACTAGACACTCCCCCCACCACCACCCCACTAGACACTCCCCCCCACCACCACCCCACTTGACACTCCCCCCACCACCACCCCACTTGACACTCCCCCCCACCACCACCCCACTTGACACTCCCCCCCACCACCCCACTAGACACTCCCCCACCACCACCCCACTAGGCACTCCCCCCCACCACCACCCCACTAGACACTCCCCCCCACCACCACCCCACTAGGCACTCCCCCCACCACCACCCCACTTGACACTCCCCCCCACCACCACCCCAATTGACACTCCCCCCCACCACCACCCCACTTGACACTCCCCCCACTACCACCCCACTTGACACTCCCCCCACCACCACCCCACTTGACACTCCCCCCCACCACCACGCCACTTGACACCCCCACCACCACCCCACTTGACACTCCCCCCCACCACCACCCCACTTGACACTCCCCCCACCACCACCCCACTTGACACTCCCTCCCACCACCACGCCACTAGACACTCCCCCCCACCACCACCCCACTTGACACTCCCCCCACCACCACCCCACTAGACACTCCCCCCACCACCACCCCACTAGACACTCCCCCCCACCACCACCCCACTAGACACTCCCCCCCACCTCCACCCCACTTGACACTCCCCCCACCACCACCCCACTAGACACTCCCCCCCACCACCACCCCACTAGACACTCCCCCCACCACCACCCCACTTGACACTCCCCCCACCACCACCCCACTAGACACTCCCCCCACCACCACCCCACTAGACACTCCCCCCCACCACCACCCACTAGACACTCCCCCCCACCTCCACCCCACTTGACACTCCCCCCACCACCACCCCACTTGACACTCCCCCCACCACCACCCCACTTGACACTCCGCCCACCACCACCCCACTAGACACTCCCCCCACCACCACCCCACTAGACACTCCCCCCCACCACCACCCCACTAGACACTCCCCCCAACCTCCACCCCACTAGACACTCCCCCCCACCACCACCCCACTAGACACTCCCCCCACCACCACCCCACTTGACACTCCCCCCACCACCACCCCACTAGACACTCCCCCCACCACCACCCCACTAGACACTCCCCCCCACCACCACCCCACTTGACACTCCCCCCACCACCACCCCACTTGACACTCCCCCCCACCACCACGCCACTTGACACCCCCACCACCACCCCACTTGACACTCCCCCCACCACCACCCCACTTGACACTCCCCCCACCACCACCCCACTTGACACTCCCTCCCACCACCACGCCACTAGACACTCCCCCCCACCACCACCCCACTAGACACTCCCCCCACCACCACCCCACTAGACACTCCCCCCCACCACCACCCCACTAGACACTCCCCCCCACCACCACCCCACTAGACACTCCCCCACCACCACCCCACTAGACACTCCCCCCACCACCACCCCACTTGATACCCCCCACCACCCCACTTGACACTCCCCCCACCACCCTCCCACCACCCCCCCACCACCCTGCAGGGCATGCCAGAGCAGTGGGCACGCATGCTGCAGACGGCCAACATCAGCGAGTGGGAGCAGAAGGAGAACCCGCAGGCGGTGCTGGACGCCCTCACCTTCCTGCAGGGCGAGCGCGGGGCCCGCGGCTCTCACAAGTACATGCGGCTCTCTGCAGGGGGCACGCCCAGCGGTGAGACACGGGGACACGGGGACAGGGAGACACGGGACAGGGAGACACGAGGACACGGGGACACGGGGACAGGGGGACACGGCTCTCACAAGTACATGCGGCTCTCTGCAGGGGGCACGCCCAGCGGTGAGACACGGGACACGGGGACACGGGGACACGGGGACACGGGGACACGGGACACGGGACAGGGAGACACGGGACAGGGACACACGAGGACACGGAGACAGGGGGACACGGGGACAGGGGGACAGGGGCCCGCGGCTCTCACAAGTACATGCGGCTCTCTGCAGGGGGCACGCCCAGCGGTGAGACACGGGGACACGGGGGACACGGGAACACGGGGACAGGGGGACACGGGGACACGGGGACACGGGGACAGGGAGACACGGCTCTCACAGGTACATGCGGCTCTCTGCAGGGGGCACGCCCAGCGGTGAGACACGGGACACGGGGACACGGGGACACGGGACACGGGACAGGGGGACAGGGGGACAGGGAGACACGGGGACACGGAGACACGGGGACACGGGACACGGGACAGGGGGACAGGGAGACACGGGGACACGGGGACACGGGGACAGGGAGACACGTGGACACGGGGACATGGGGACACGGGGGGAGGACGTGGGGACGTGGGAATGCGGGGTCAAGGGTCACACGGCCCACAGACATGGGGCCTGGCCTAACGAAGAACAGGCTCAGCTCACCTGTCACTCACCTGTCACTCGTCTCACCTGTCACTCACCTGTGTCTCACTTGTCTCACCTGTCACTCACCTGTCAATCACCTGTCACTCACCTGTCACTCACTTGTCTCACCTGTCACTCACCTGTCAACCACCTGTGTCTCACCTGTCACTCACCTTTCACTCACCTGTCACTCACCTGTGTCTCACCTGTCACTCACCTGTGTCTCACCTGTGTCTCACCTGTCACTCACTTGTCACTCACCTGTCACTCACCTGTTATTCACCTGTCTCACCTGTGTCTCACCTGTAACTCACCTGTCACTCACCTGTGTCTCACCTGTGTCTCACCTGTCACTCACCTGTCACTCACCTGTCACTCACCTGTGTCTCACCTGTCACTCACCTGTCACTCACCTGTCAATCACCTGTCACTCACCTGTAACTCACCTGTCACTCACCTGTCACTCACCTGTCAATCACCTGTCACTCACCTGTGTCTCACCTGTCACTCACCTGTCACTCACCTGTCAATCACCTGTCACTCACCTGTAACTCACCTGTCACTCACCTGTCACTCACCTGTCAATCACCTGTCACTCACCTGTGTCTCACTTGTCACTCACCTGTCACTCACCTGTCACGCACCTGTGTCTCATCTGTCACTCACCTGTCTCACCTGTGTCTTACCTGTCACTCACCTGTCACTCACCTGTGTCTCACCTGTCACTCACCTGTGTCCCACCTGTCACTCACCTGTGTCTCACCTGTCTCACCTGTGTCTCACCTGTGTCTCATCTGTCACTCACCTGTCTCACCTGTGTCTCACCTGTGTCTCACCTGTCACTCACCTGTCACTCACCTGTCTCACCTGTCACTCACCTGTCTCACCTGTGTCTTACCTGTCACTCACCTGTCACTCACCTGTGTCTCACCTGTCACTCACCTGTGTCCCACCTGTCACTCACCTGTGTCTCACCTGTCACCTGTCACTCACCTGTCTCACCTCTCTCACCTGTCACTCACCTGTGTCTCATCTGTCACTCACCTGTGTCTCACCTGTGTCTCATCTGTCACTCACCTGTGTCTCACCTGTCACTCACCTGTGTCTCACCTGTCACTCACCTGTTTCATCTGTCACTCACCTGTCTCACCTGTCACTCATCTGTGTCTCACCTGTCACACACCTGTCACTCACCTGTCTCACCTGTCATTCACCTGTATCTTACCTGTCACTCACCTGTCACTCACCTGTCACTCACCTGTGTCTCACCTGTCACTCACCTGTCACTCACCTCTCACTCACCTGTCTCACCTGTCACTCACCTGTGTCTCACCTGTCTCACCTGTCACTCACCTGTGTCTCTCCTGTCACTCACCTGTCTCTCACCTGTCACTCACCTGTGTCTCACCTGTCACTCACCATGTCACTCACCTGTGTCTCACCTGTCTCACCTGTCACTCACCTGTCCCTCACCTGTCACTCACCATGTCACTCACCTGTGTCTCACCTGTCTCACCTGTCACTCACCTGTCCCTCACCTGTCACTCACCATGTCACTCACCTGTGTCTCACCTGTCTTACCTGTATCTCACCTGTCACTCACCTGTGTCTCACCATGTCACTAACCTGTGTCTTACCTATCATTCACCTGTGTCTCACCTGTCACTTACCTGTCACTCACCTGTCACTCACCTGTCACTCACCTGTCACTCACCTGTCTCACCTGTCACTCACCTGTCACTCACCTGTCTCACCTGTCACTCACCTGTCACTCACCTGTGTCTCACCTGTCACTCACCTGTCTCACTTGTCACTCACCTGTCTCACTTGTCACTCACCTGTGTCTCACCTGTCTCACCTGTCACTAACCTGTGTCTCACCTGTCACTCACCTGTGTCTTACCTGTCACTCATCTGTGTCTCACCTGTCACTCACCTGTCTCACTTGTCACTCACCTGTGTCTCACCTGTCACTCACCTGTCACTCAACTGTGTCTCACCTGTCTCACCTGTCACTCACCTGTCACTCACCTCTCACTCACCTGTCTCACCTGTCACTCACCTGTGTCTCACCTGTCTCACCTGTCACTCACCTGTGTCTCTCCTGTCACTCACCTGTCTCTCACCTGTCACTCACCTGTGTCTCACCTGTCACTCACCATGTCACTCACCTGTGTCTCACCTGTCTCACCTGTCACTCACCTGTCCCTCACCTGTCACTCACCATGTCACTCACCTGTGTCTCACCTGTCTCACCTGTCACTCACCTGTCCCTCACCTGTCACTCACCATGTCACTCACCTGTGTCTCACCTGTCTTACCTGTATCTCACCTGTCACTCACCTGTGTCTCACCATGTCACTAACCTGTGTCTTACCTATCATTCACCTGTGTCTCACCTGTCACTTACCTGTCACTCACCTGTCACTCACCTGTCACTCACCTGTCACTCACCTGTCTCACCTGTCACTCACCTGTCACTCACCTGTCTCACCTGTCACTCACCTGTCACTCACCTGTGTCTCACCTGTCACTCACCTGTCTCACTTGTCACTCACCTGTCTCACCTGTCACTCACCTGTCACTCACCTGTCTCACCTGTCACTCACCTGTCACTCACCTGTGTCTCACCTGTCACTCACCTGTCTCACTTGTCACTCACCTGTCTCACTTGTCACTCACCTGTGTCTCACCTGTCTCACCTGTCACTAACCTGTGTCTCACCTGTCACTCACCTGTGTCTTACCTGTCACTCATCTGTGTCTCACCTGTCACTCACCTGTCTCACTTGTCACTCACCTGTGTCTCACCTGTCACTCACCTGTCACTCAACTGTGTCTCACCTGTCTCACCTGTCACTCACCTGTCACTCACCTGTGTCTCACCATGTCACTCACCTGTGTCTCACCTGTCACTCACCTGTCACTCACCTGTCACTCACCTGTGTCTCACCTGTCACTCACCTGTCACTCACCTGTCATTCACCTGTGTTTTACCTGTCACTCACCTGTCTCTCACCTGTCACTCACCTGTGTCTCACCTGTCACTCACCTGTCACTCACCTGTGTCTTACCTGTCACTCACCTGTGTCTCACTGTGACCCTGTCTGCAGGTAAAGGTGAAGCAACCCCAGATCCCACACCCCAGGTAAGACACTGAACTGTGCTGTTGTGGCTGATGATAATGTTGCTGATTATGTTGCTGTTGATGATGGTGATGATTATGTTGCTGTTGCTGTTGATGATGGTGATGATTATGTTGCTGATGATGCTGGTGATAATGCTGATCATGATGCTGATGCCCCTGCTACCGCTGCTGATTATGATTATTATGATGATGATGATCATCATAATGATGATGTTGATGATAATGCTTATCATGTTCTTGCTTCTTTCGGTAAAGTCACGTAGAAGGGAAACAATAAAATAATGAAAATATATAACAATAAAATTCTCAGACGACTTGCTTGTCAGTTTTGATGTAGTTTCCTTATTCACCAAAGTTCCTGTACCTGACACCATCACAATCATTGAAGACTTGGTTCATCAAGGACTAAACACTGAGGTACCCCCCCTGGTGAGACACTGCTTAACCAATACATACTTTACTTGGAATGGAACTTTCTACAAACAAACTGAGGGCACCCCAATGGGCTATCTCCGGTTATAGCTAACATTTTCATGGAGAAATTTGAGACTGACGCCATCCAGACTGCCACTCTGCGCCCGACCTTATGGAAGAGGTACGTGGATGACACTTTTGTCATCTGGCCACATGGCCGGCCTGCTCTAGACCAATTCCTCGACCACATCAATTCCATACACCCAGCCATCAGATTTACCATGGAAGTCGAAAACGATGGCAAGATACTTTTTTTGGATGTGCTAATAAAAAGAGACCTGATGGTTCAATGAGCCACTCTGTCTACAGGAAAGCTACCCATACGGATGCTTACCTGAAATCGGATTCCTACCACCATCCATCCCAGAAGAATTCCCTTATCAAGACTCTGCACCATAGAGCCCAATGCATATACGACCAGGAACACATAGCCAGTGAACTCAAGCACGTACACCAAGCTCTTAAGGCTAATGGTTACTCCGACTACACAATCTGCAAAGCTATCACTCCAACCATGAAGAAGGACCCTCTTGAGGAGCCTTTCAAAACCATCACTTTACCCTACATTGCAGGGATCACACAAAAGATCTCCAAAATCTTGAATAAACACAAGATCCAGGTTCGATTCAACACATTACATAAAATCCGTGCTCTGGTTCCGTCTGTAAAAGATGTGATTCCGGACATACAGTACCCTGGTGTCTACAAACTAAGTTGCCTCTGTGGTAGTAGTTACATTGGAGAAACCAAACGACATGTCTCGGACCGCATTCGTGAACACAAAGCAGACCTTAAACATGGTAGGACCAACACCTCGGCCATGGCAGATCACTGTTATAATTCAGTAGGCTCACATGACATTGACTTCTCCAAGACAGAGGTTCTTTGCAAGCCATCTGGCTACCATGAGAGATTCGTTCACGAGGCTATCCACATATACAAACACAGAGACAGTTTCAACCGAGAAGATGGATTCTGGCTTAGCAATCATTGGAAGGATTTGATAAACCATTTCGGGTCTTAATTGATTTTTCACGCTTATGGTGGCTTTCAAACCGCATACATTATTTTCGTCTCCCCCCTCCTCTTTTCCGAACATAGATGGACTCGTCCATCTGAATAACTGCCAAATCGCTCTCCGTGGTGCTAACATAAAAAAAACGCCACTTTTTCAAAATTTCTTGCCGTGGTTTTCACACCTGATGATGATTGCTTGTGTTGCAGTCGAAACGTCGTGAGAATTTTATTGTTTTATATTTGTATTATTGTATTGTTTCTCTTCTACGTGACTTTACCGAAAGAACCAAGATTATGAATCCCTGTAGTCACGAAAGTTTAATTAAAAAATTAAATACTTATCATGATGATCATGATGCTGAGGCTACTGCTGATGATGGTCATAATAATCATGTTGATGATAATGCTTATCATGATGATCAAGATCCTACTCCTACAATGATGGTGTTGATGATGATGCTGATGATGATGGTGCTGATGATGCTGATGATGGTTCTGATGATGATGATGATGGTGCTGATGATGATGATGGTGCTGCTGATGATGATGGTGGTGATGGTGATGATGGTGATGATGATGGTGCTGATGATGATTGTGATGGTACTGATGATGATGGTGCTGATAGTGATGAAGGTGATGATGATGATGGTACTGGTGATGTTGGTGATGATGATGGTGCTGATGATGATGGTACTGATGATGATGGTGATGAAGGTGATGATGATGGTACTGGTGATGATGGTGATGATGATGGTGCTGATGATGGTGGTGATGATGATTGTGATGATGATTGTGATGATGATGATGATGGTGCTGATGATGGTGCTGATGATGATGGTACTGATGATGATGATGGTGGTGATGGTGATGAAGGTGATGATGATGGTGCTGATGATGATGGTGATGATGATGATTGTGATGATGATGGTTCTGATGATGATTGTGACGAGGTGAATAATCAGGTCGAGTCTCTGGACTCTGACGATGACTCTGCACCCCCACCCATCGCCCCACGGCCGGAGTGTACCAAATCGGTGAGTTCACTCACCACTCGTCACTCACCACTCGTCACTCACCACTCGTCATTCACCACTCGTCACTCACCACTCGCCACTCACCACTCACCACTCGTCACTCACCACTCACTCACCACTCACTCACTCACCACTCATCACTCACCACTCACCACTCGTCACTCACCACTCGTCACTCACCACTCGTCACTCATCACTCGTCACTCACCACTCACTCACTCACCACTCACCACTCGTCACTCACCACTCGTCACTCACCACTCGTCACTCACCAGCCGTCACTCACCACTCACCACTCACCACTTGTCACTCACCACTCATCACTCACCACTCGTCACTCGCCACTCGTCACTCATCACTCACCACTCGTCACTCACCACTCATCACTCACCACTCGTCACTCACCACTCATCACTCACCACTCGTCACTCACCACTCGTCACTCACCACTCGTCACTCACTCACCACACTACACTCACCACTCGTCACTCACCACTCGTCACTCACCACAAACTTACTCACCATTCACTTACTCACTACACTCACTACACTCACTCACCACTCACTCACTCACCACTCGTCACTCACCACTCGTCACTCGTCACTCACCACTCACTCACCACTCGCCACCCACCACTCACCACCACTCACTACACAGGCACCACTCACCACTCACTCACCACTCGTCACTCACCACTCGTCACTCACCACCACTCACCACTCACCACGCACTTACTCACCACACAAGCACCACTCGCCGCTCACCACTCACCACTTACTCACCACTCACTCACTACACTCACCACTCACTCACCACTCACTACACTCACCACTCACTCCTCACCCCTCACTCCTCTCCACTCCTCACCCCTCACCCGCAGGTACGCACGGTCTCCGTAATTGACCTCGTGACCCCGGAGAGCGGGGGGGTCAAAGGTCGCCCGCGAGTTCGCCATGGCGACAGTGAGGTCATCGCCAACCTGAGTGGGTGACGCCTCCCCAGGGTACCCCCTAAACCCTCCGCAGGGTACCCCCTAAACCCTCCCCAGGGTACCCCCTAAACCCTCCCCAGGGTACCCCCTAAACCCTCCACAGGGTACCCCCTAAACCCTGCCCAGGGTACCCCCTAAACCCTCCCCAGGGTATCCCCTAAACCCTCCCCAGGGTACCCCCTAAACCCTCCCCAGGGTACCCCCTAAACCCTGCCCAGGGTACCCCCTAAACCCAGCCCCCTTACCCCCTAAACCCTCCCCAGGGTACCCCCTAAACCCTGCCCAGGGTACCCCTAATCCCTGCCCAGGGTACCCCCTAAACCCTGCCCAGGGTACCCCCTAAACCCTGCCCCCTTACCCCCTAAACCCTCCCCAGGGTACCCCCTAAACCCTGCCCAGGGTACCCCTAATCCCTGCCCAGGGTACCCCCTAAACCCTTGCCCAGGGTACCCCCTAAACCCTGCCCCCTTACCCACTAAACCCTGCCTAGGGTACCCCTAAACCCTCCCCAGGGTACCCCCTAAACCCTCCCCAGGGTACCCCCTAAACCCTGCCCAGGGTACCCCTAAACCCTGCCCAGGGTACCCCCTAAACCCTGCCCAGGGTACCCCCTAAACCCTGCCCAGGGTACCCCTAAACCCTGCCCAGGGTTCCCCCTAAACCCTGCCCAGGGTACCCCCTAAACCCTCCCCAGGGTACCCCTAAACCCTGCCCAGGGTACCCCCTAAACCCTGCCCAGGGTACCCCCTAAACCCTGCCCAGGGTACCCCCTAAACCCTGCCCTTACCCCCTAAACCCTCCCCAGGGTACCCCTAAACCATCCCCAGGGTACCCCCTAAACCCTCCCCTTACCCCCTAAACCCTGCCCAGGGTGCCCCCTTAAGTTTTGATGAAAGTTAGGGGTAACGGTGGATAGTGATGAGGTGAGGGGTGGTAGTGATGAGGTTAGTGGTGGTAGTGATGAGGTGAGGGGTGGTCGTGATGAGGTGAGGGGTGGTCGTGATGAGGTGAGTGGTGGTAGTGATGAGGTGAGGGGTGGCCGTGATGAGGTGAGGGGTGGTAGTGATGAGGTGAGGGGTGGTCGTGATGAGGTGAGGGGTGGTCGTGATGAGGTGAGGGGTGGTCGTGATGAGGTGAGGGGTGGCCATGATGAGGTGAGGGGTGGCCGTGATGAGGTGAGGGGTGGTAGTGATGAGGTGAGGGGTGGTAGTGATGAGGTGAGGGGTGGTAGTGATGAGGTGAGGGGTGGTAGTGATGAAGTGAGGGGTGGTCGTGATGAGGTGAGGGGTGGTCGTGATGAAGTGAGGGGTGGTCGTGATGAGGTGAGGGGTGGTCGTGATGAGGTTGCTGTCGTCACGCAGGGAAGATCGTGAGTGTGGGAGATCCCAACAAGAAGTACGCTCGCTTTGAGAAGATTGGACAGGGGTACGCACACACACACACATACACACACACATACACACACCACACACACCACACACACATACCACACACACACATACACATACATACACACACCACACACAGACATACACACACACAACAACAACAACAACCGCCATTCGCCACTAAGTGGCGGTGACGTCACCACGACGCTTGTGCCAGGCTATGTGCACCCTGAGGCCACGTGAAGTGTCGAACGCCCGCTGGCAGGAGGTCACGGGGCAGACCCAGCTGCCACGGGTCGACTGACTGAGATGACTGGCTGATGCACCACCTGTGCCCCCTACTGTGCCAACCTGCTGTGCTTTAGCCACCCGGCGCTCCGCTCGCTGTTGTGAGCGTCGCTCCTCCGCCCTCCGTTGTTGTTGGAGGGCGACTGCCTCCAACTGCCCAGTAGCATCCTTCACGAGCCTCCTCCACAGAGGCCGATCTTGACACCGCTGGTACCAGTCATCGGCAAGTCCACTCAGCTCCACGTCCTCCTGTACCACATCACTCCATCTCTTCTCTAGCCCGTGCCGCGCCCGCTTAGCCCCCTCAATCCGGCCAAACAAAAGCTGTTTCGGCATGCGGTGGCTGGGCATGCGGGCTACATGACCCAGCCATCGCAGCCTTGCCTGCCGGAGGAGCTCACCGATGGGACCCTGCCCAGATCTTTCAAGGATTTGTGAGCTCCTCACACAATCCAGTCTGGTTAAACCCAGGATGGATCGTAGGCAGGCCAGCCTAAATGTTTCTAACCGGCGAAGATGTTCCATTAGGGGGGTCCACGTTTCGCAAGCGTAGCGAAGGGAGGGAATGACCGTGGCCGAGAAGACCTGAAGCTTAGTGCGGAGCGACAGACCAGGTAGCTTCCACACAGCGTTACGCAACCGATGAAAAGATATTGCCGCTCGACTGATTCGGAGTGAGACCTCTGCTGTTAAACTGGAGCCAGTCATAAGCACACTGCCCAGGTATGGGAAACTCTCCACTCTCTCCACAACTGCCCCATCACCGATTGGGAGTTGTGGGGGTGGAGTGTCCGATGGTACAAAATACCCAGGCAGGTGCTTAGTTTTGGTGGGGCTGATGGTAAGGCCCCACCTCTTAGTGGCACGCTCCAGTCTCAGCAGCAGCGTCTCCAACTCCTCCTCTGACTGAGCAGCTATTACCAAGTCATCAGCATACATAACGTGGTTGAGCAATAGGGAGCCATCCCTTGACCGCACCCGGGCATCGATTAGCCTCCCATTATATCTGTACCTTATGGAGATTCCCCCGGTACAGCTATTGAAGGCTTCACGAACTACGTGGTCAAAATAGATGTTAAATAATGTGGGAGCCAGAGGACATCCCTGTCGCACCCCAAGGTGTACAGGGAATGGCTCTGACTCCCGGCCACGTAGTTTTACCCGGGCCCGCTCACCATCATGAAGGTCCTTAATGATCGTGAGCAGAGGGTCAGGTACTCCAAAAGCACGAAGAACGACCCAGAGCCCAGGCCTACTGATGGTATCATAGGCCTTGACCAGGTCAATAAAGCAGAGATGTAGGTCTTGTTGGAATTCCCTACACCTCTGCTGTAGCAGACGGACAGAAAATATGGCATCTGTGCAGGACCGCCCTTTCCTGAAACCGAAAACAGACATACACACACACACCACACACACCACACACACACACAGACACACACCACACACACACACACCACACACACACCGCACACACACACACACACATACACACCACACACACACACCACACACACCACACACACACCACACACACACCACACACACACATACACACACATACACACACCACACACACACACACAGACACACACCACACACACACACACCACACACACACACAGACACACACACACATACCACACACACACACCACACACACACAACACACACACCACACACACACCACACACACACAAACTCACACACAGACACACACAGACACACACAAAGATCAAAGATCCCCCATATAGCCTTAACAGACTATAGGGGCAAGTGCTGTTAGCGAGCACCTATGAAGGCCGGAACGGTACACGAGGGGGTGGGTGGCCAGCACCACGCCCGACCGCTTTTGTCTCCCTAGTGGCAATGTTTACACACCGCACCAGGTACTCATTTGAGGCTGAGTCGACCTAGGGGAGGCCCGGGACCGGTTCAGATAATCGTCACTGGTGTTGGCCGTGAGCGGGAATCGAACTCGGGTCGCCAGGTTCATAGCGCAGCGCGCTAACCGCCAGCTATCGCTCCCCACACACATACACACAGACACACACCACACCACACACACAGACACACACACACAGACACACACACAGACACAGACCACACACAACAACAACAACCGCCATTCGCCACTAAGTGGCGGTGACGTCACCACGACGCTTGTGCCAGGCTATGTGCACCCTGAGGCCACGTGAAGTGTCGAACACCCGCTGGCAGGAGGTCACGGGGCAGACCCAGGTGCCACGGGTCGACTGACTTAGATGACTGGCTGATGCACCACCTGTGCCCCCTACTGTGCCAACCTGCTGTGCTTTAGCCACCCGGCGCTCCGCTCGTTGTTCTGAGCGTCACTCCTCCGCCCTCCGTTGTTGTTGGAGGGCGACTGCCTCCAACTGCCCAGTAGCGTCCTTCACGAGCCTCCTCCACAGAGGCCGATCTTGACACCGCTGGTACCAGTCATCGGCAAGTCCACTCAGCTCCACGTCCTCCTGTACCACATCACTCCATCTCTTCTCTAGCCCGTGCCGAGCCCGCTTAGCCCCCTCGATCCGGCCAAACAAAAGCTGTTTCGGCATGCGGTGGCTGGGCATGCGGGCTACATGACCCAGCCATCGCAGCCTTGCCTGCCAGAGGAGCTCACCGATGGGACCTTGCCCAGATCTTTCAAGGATGTGAACTCCTCACACAATCCAGCCTGGTTAAACTCAGGATGGATCGTAGGCAGGCTAGCCTAAATGTTTCTAACCGGCGAAGATTAGGGGGGTCCACGTTTCGCAAGTGTAGAGAAGGGAGGGAATGACCGTGGCCGAGAAGACCTGAAGCTTAGTGCGGAGCGACAGACCAGGTAGCTTCCACACAGTGTTACGCAACCGATGAAAAGATATTGCCGCTCGATTGATTCGGAGCGAGACCTCTGCTGTTGAACTGGAACCAGTCATACGCACACTGCCCAGATATGGGAAACTCTCCACTCTCTCCACAACTGCCCCATCACCGATTGGGAGTTGTGGGGGTGGAGTGTCCGATGGTAAAAAATACCCAGGCAGGTGCTTAGTTTTGGTGGGGCTGATGGTAAGGCCCCATCTCTTAGTGGCACGCTCCAGTTTCAGCAGCAGCGTCTCCAACTCCTCCTCTGAATTAGCAACTATTACCAAATCATCGGCATATATAACGTGGTTGAGCAATAGGGAGCCATTCCTTGACCGCACCCGGGCATCGATCAGCCTCCCATTATATCTATACCAAATGGAGATTCCCCCAGTACAGCTATTGAAGCCTTCACGAACTACGTGGTCAAAATAGATGTTAAATAATGTGGGAGCCAGAGGACATCCCTGTCGCACCCCAAGGTGTACAGGGAATGGCTCTGACTCCCGGCCACGTAGTTTTACCCGGGCCTGCTCACCATCATGAAGGTCCTTAATGATCGTGAGCAGGGGGTCAGGGACTCCAAAAGCACGAAGAACAACTCAGAGCTCAGGCCTACTGATAGTATCATAGGCCTTGACCAGGTCAATAAAGCAGAGATGTAGGTCTTGTAGGAATTCCCTACACCTCTGCTGTAGCAGACGGACAGAAAATATGGGATCTGTGCAGGACCGCCCTTTCCTGAAATCGCATTGGGGCTCCGCAAGCCTCTCCTCAGCGTGCCTGGCGAGGCGACGTTGAATAATCCTTGCCAGGACCCCCCCCCCCCCCCCATGCATACACTGCGCACCCCCCCCGACACACACTCCACATAAAACCCCGCATACCACACCCCCCGCCCCCCACACACAGCCACTCTCTCATGTACAGAACCACTCACCCACTCACATGCTCACTCACTCACTCACTGACCAAATCACTCACCCACTCATTATGGTTGCTATTGGTCCAGGATGGCAGCATAAAATTATTTGGACCAAGATCTGGTGATGATGAGGTGATACACGTGGCCAATACAGAAGACTGCCTGGGCCACGTTAGCCTCCACGTGACATCTACTCACTCCTGGTCCTCCTCGCTTTCCCTGCCCTCTCCCTGCCCTCTCTCAATCTCCCACTCCCCCTTCTCTCTCCAGGGCCTCGGGCACAGTTTACACGGCGATGGACACAACCACAGGTCACGAGGTGAGACCCGGGGAGGCAGGTGGTGGGAGACATGGGGAGGGAGGTGGTGGGAGACACGGGGAGGGATGGAGGTGATGGGAGACACGGGGAGGGATGGAGGTGATGGGAGACACGGGGATGGAGGTGATGGGAGACACGGGGATGGAGGTGATGGGAGACACGGGGAGGGATGGAGATGACGGGAGATACGGATGCCCTGTCTCTACCCCTAGGTGGCCATCAAGCAGATGAACCTGCAAGCTCAGCCCAAGAAGGAGCTGATCGTGAACGAGATCCTGGTGATGCGGGAGAACCAGAACCAGAACATCGTCAACTACCTGGACAGGTGCGTCCCAACACAGTGAGGCCAGGGTTAGACACAGTGAGGTCAGGGTTTGACACAGTGAGGCCAGGGTTTGACACAGTGGGGTCAGGGTTTAACACAGTGGGGTCAGGGTTTAACACAGTGGGGTCAGGGTTTGACACAGTGGGGTCAGGGTTTGACTCTTTGGGGTCAGGGTTGGACACAGTGGGGTCAGGGTTTAACACAGTGAGGCCATGGTTTGACACAGTGGGGTCAGGGTTTGACACAGTGGGGTCAGGGTTTGACACAGTGGGGTCAGGGTTTGACACAGTGGGGTCAGGGTTTGACACAGTGAGGTCAGGGTTTAACACAGTGGGGTCAGGGTTTGACACAGTGGGGTCAGGGTTTGACACAGTGGGGTCAGGGTTTGACACAGTGGGGTCAGGGTTTGACACAGTGGGGTCAGGGTTTGACACACTGGGGTCAGGGTTCGACACAGTGGGGTCAGAGTTCAACACAGTGGGGTCAGGGTTCGACACAGTGGGGTCAGGGTTTAACACAGTGGGGTCAGGGTTTAACACAGTGTGGTCCCCGTTGCCATAGCTACCTGGTGGAGGATGAGCTCTGGGTCGTCATGGAGTACCTGGCGGGGGGCTCCCTCACCGACGTCGTCACGGAGACGCTGATGGACGAGGGGCACATCGCCGCCGTGTGCCGCGAGGTGGGGCGCGTTACCACGGTTACCACCACCCCCCGCCCCGTTGCCCCCGTTACCCTCCACACGTGACGCCGTGTTCTCTACGTTACCACGGTTACCACCACCCCCCGCCCCGTTGCCCCCGTTACCCTCCACACATGACGCCGTGTTCTCTACGTTACCCTCGGTTACGCCACAATACCCCATGGTGACCTCATTACCCCCGTCATCCCCCCCAGTGCCTGCAGGCGCTGGAGTTCCTCCACTCCCGGCAAGTGATCCACCGTGACATCAAGAGCGACAACGTCCTGCTGGGCATGGACGGCTCCGTCAAGCTCAGTGAGTCGCTCGCTCAACACTCACACTCACTCACTGCTCTCCCACCACCCACTCAATACTCACACTCACTCACCGCTCACTCATCACTCACACTCACTCACTGCTCTCTCACCACCCACTCAACACTCACACTCACTCACTGCTCACTCACTCACCACCCACTCAACACTCACACTCACTCACTGCTCTCTCACCACCCACTCAACACTCACACTCACTCACTGCTCTCCCACCACCCACTCAACACTCACACTCACTCACTGCTCACTCAACACTCACACTCACTCACTGCTCTCCCACCACCCACTCAATACTCACACTCACTCACCGCTCACTCATCACTCACACTCACTCACTGCTCTCTCACCACCCACTCAACACTCACACTCACTCACTGCTCACTCACTCACCACCCACTCACCACTCACACTCACTCACTGCTTCCTCACCGCCATAGTCAACACTCACACTCACTCACTGCTTGCTCACCACCCACTCAACACTCACACTCACTCACTGCTCACTCACTCACCACCCACTCACCACTCACACTCACTCACTGCTCACTCACCGCCATAGTCAACACTCACACTCACTCACTGCTTGATAACCGCCCACTCAACACTCACACTCACTCACTGCTCACTCACCACTCACTCACTCATCGCTCGCTCGCCGCTCATACTCACTCACTGCCCTCTCACCACCCACTCAACACTCACACTCACTCACCGCTCACTCACCGCCCACTCAACACTCACACTTACTCACCGCTCACTCACCACCCACTCACCACTCACACTCACTCACTGCTCGCTCACCGCTCAAACTCCCTACTCACTCTCACACTCACTCACCACTCGCTCCCCACTCCCATACTGACGCACACACACTCACGCACACTCACGCACACTCACGCACACTCACACACACTCACACACACTCACACACACTCACACTCACACACACTCACGCACACTCACGCACACTCACGCACACTCACAGTCACACACACTCACACACACACCCACACACACTCACGCACACTCACGCACACTCACGCACACTCACACACACTCACACTCACGCACACTCACGCACACTCACGCACACTCACACACACGCACACTCACACACACTCACACACACTCACACACACGCACACTCACGCACACTCACACACACTCACACACACTCACACACACGCACACTCACGCACACTCACGCACACTCACGCACACTCACACACACGCACACTCACGCACACTCACGCACACTCACACACACTCACACTCACGCACACTCACACACACTCACACACACTCACGCACACTCACGCACACTCACACACACTCACACACACGCACACTCACGCACACTCACACACACTCACGCACACTCACACACACTCACGCACACTCACACACTCACTCACACTCACGCACACTCACACACACTCACACACACTCACACACACTCACGCACACTCACACACACTCACGCACACTCACACACACTCACACACACTCACACACACTCACGCACACTCACACAGTGTGTCCCTGAGTGTTGCCGTATCTCTGACCCCCAACTTATCCCTCGACTTGCGTCTGCACCCCTCCTCTGCCCCCCACCCCCCACGTCCCTCCGCCCCTCCCGTGCCCCCCCTCCACCCCCGTGTCCCCACAGCCGACTTCGGCTTCTGCGCCCAGATCTCCCCGGAGCAGAGCAAACGCAGCACCATGGTGGGCACCCCCTACTGGATGGCGCCCGAGGTGAGCCACGGCGAGACACGGAGACACCATCCCCGGCGTAGCCTCCACACAGACACGCGCTGCCAAGGGCTCTGTTAGCGACCTGCCGCCTACGAAGGCCGGCATGGCGCCCGGGCGTGGGCCACAGAGAGACACGGAGACACCATCCCCGGCGTAGCCTCCACACAGACACGCGCTGCCAAGGGCCCTGTTAGCGACCTGCCGCCCACGAAGGCCGGCACGGCGCCCGGGCGTGGGCCACGGAGAGACACGGAGACACCATCCCCGGCGTAGCCTCCACACAGACACGCGCTGCCAAGGGCTCTGTTAGCGACCTGCCGCCTACGAAGGCCGGCACGGCGCCCGGGCGTGGGCCACGGAGAGACACGGAGACACCATCCCCGGCGTAGCCTCCACACAGACACGCGCTGCCAAGGGCTCTGTTAGCGACCTGCCGGCACGGCGCCCGGGCGTGGGCCGCCCCGGGTTCAGCTGCTCGGCAGCCACTGCCTAATCGCTCGCCAGTTTAACACCACCTCGTAGGAGGCTTTCGCGACCAACATCATCCACAATGGAGGCTTTTTGGGTTAGAGCGCGTAAATATATAAATGTGCCATTAAACCCGCCACCACCCGACACAGCCAATTAGTAAGGGTTGTCACGTAAACAGAACGTGGTCAATTCGTCACCAATACAGCACACCGGTGTGTTGGACAGCCAAGCCACAACATTGACAATCTGAGTACGACGTTTTGCCGGTAATTACAACCGGCTTCATCAGGTGCCAGACAGATTTGTGGAGAAATCCTCCTCCTGTTTAGTCCCTTAAATAGAGGCGTAGGTGTGATGACGTCACTTGCGAGCCCTTCTTGCGCGAGGTGGGGGGGAGGATTAATGAATTCATATAAATTACAATGGGTGTCCGATGCCGTTTTCTGGTTGTTTATATGGTAATTAACGTTCATTGTGCAAGCCCATTGTTATTGTAACTCCTGTCGATTGTGTGCACTAAATAGCCGTGCCTGTTATCAACGTGAATCCCTACTGAAGTACGGTGACCTGTATAGGCATGCACTTATTACTTGATGATTCGCTTCCAAGCAGCAATACGCCCGTAGCTATCCGAATGGTTAAAATAAATTTCATTTCTCTCAATTTCGATAGATTATCCAATTAGTCTCGGCCAGTAGTAGCTAGTTTTGCACAGAACTTCAACATTATCAAAATCAACGGAGTGTCCTTGTTGGCACTCGTGTTCTGCTACTGCTGACAGTTGTTTTTAGGAGTACTTCATATTTTTTTGGTGTTCTTTTAGTCTCGTGCTGATCATTTGTCCTGTTTGCCCAACATAGCATTTGCCACAATTAATCCTGTACACACCTTCTGTTGATAGCTTCGGTGATACATATTTTATACCAGATATTAATTTCTGTGTTTTATTGTACCGTGCCAAAATTGACTCGGATGTTTTGTTTTTCCAAACATCTGGCTAGTTTATCAGTTACTCCCGCAATGTTCGATATTTTGATAATTTTAATTACTGTGTCAGTGTCAACTCTCATGTTATATGATTTGGTTTTGGAATTCAGTGCCCTGCAAATTTGTGCATGATTGTAACCGTTCAATGAAACATGCTAAATCAGCGCTGCCTTCCCCGCTGGTCCCGTCTCCCATGGGATTCCCAGCCGGTCCTCTTGTTCACAATGGATACGCTGGGTTGGGCCTCTCGGGAGTGGGACCTGGACAACAAATTTGTGTCGTGTTACCCCTCCGCCAACCCTACGTGGATAAACAAAAAAACACAACGTCCCTTGGCCACGTGTTGTGTTCGGCACGGTGCGAGAGTTGAACGCCGATCGTCGTCAGCTCGCTCATCCCCGGTGAGCTGAGGGAGCGATCCCCTCACCGTGAGATTTAGCAGCGCCCTCTGACGCTCACGCTCACTCGCATCCAGCGCTCACCCCCGGTGAGTTTAGAGAGGGACCTCATCGCTCGCTCTGGCTGTGAGAATTAGTCAGATTTCGCCAGTAGTCATCTCTCTCAACCGATTTTCCCGTGTTGAAGCCGAGCGCCACGCTCAGAGCGCCGCACAGATAGATTCGCGAATCCGTGGCTGTGACCCGCAGGTGGTGACGCGCAAGGCCTACGGCCCCAAGGTGGACATCTGGAGCCTCGGCATCATGGCCATCGAGATGGTGGAGGGGGAGCCGCCATACCTTAACGAGAACCCACTTAGGGTGAGTGGGTGGGTGGGTGAGCTGGTAGGTGGGTGGGCGAGTGAATGGGTGAGTGGGTGGGTGAGTGGGTGAGCGGGTCCGTGAGTGGGCGGGTGGGTGGGTGAGTGGGTGAGTGAATGGGTGAGTGGGTGAGTAGGTGAGACTGTGGAGGGAGAGCTGCCCTACCTCAATGAGAACCAAATCAGGGTGAGTGGGCAGTTGAGCGGGTGGGTGAATGGGTGGGTGAGTGGATGGGTTGGTGGGTGAGTGAGTCTGCAGGTGAGTCGATGGGCAGGTGAATGGGTGGGTGAACAGGTGGGTGGGTGGGTGGGTGAGCGCATGAGTGGGTGGGTGAGAGAGTCAGTGGGTAGGTGAGTGAGCGGGTGAGTGCATAGGTGAGTGAGCGGGTGAGTGAGCAGGTGATTGAGTGGGTGAGTGAGCATGTGAGTGAGTAGGTGAGTGGGTAGGTGAGTGGTTAGGTGAGTAAGCGGATGAGTGAGCAGTTGAGTGCGTCGGCGAGTGAGTGGGTGAGTGAGCATGTGAGTGAACATGTGAGTGGGTGAGTGAGTGAGCAGGTGAGTGAGATGGTGGAGGGTGATCCACCATAAATCTACAAGAACCCACTCAGGGTGAGTGAGTGGATGACCGAGCGGTGGTACAGTGGTTAGCGCAGCTGCCCTACGAACCTGGCGACCTTAGTTCGATTCCCGTTCACGGCCAACATCGGTGACAATTATCTGAAATGGTCTTGGGTCTCCACTAGGTCAACTCGGCCTCAAAATTAGTGTCTGTTGCGGTGTGTAAATATCGCCACTGGGGAGACAAAGTCGGCCGGGCATGGTGCCGACCGGGCATGGTGCTGGCCACCCACCCCGTTAGCGCGCCATGTCGGCCTTCATTGGTGCTGCTCGCTAACAGCACTTGCCCTGATAGTCTATTAAGGCTACATGCGGGGGGGGTGGGGGAGGATCTTTGTCTTTGCAGGCTCTCTACCTGATCGCCACCAACGGGACACCCAAGCTGCAGACCCCCGAGAAGCTGTCCCCCACCTTCCATGACTTCCTGGGTCGCTGCCTCGCCATCGAGGCCGAGACGCGCGGCTCGGCGCACGATCTCCTGCAGGTGCCTGCCCGCACGCCGGCACGCGCCCGCACACAGGCAAAGCGCCCCCTGCCTGCGTAGCCTCCAGCAGGCTGCCGGGGCAAGTGTGCCCGTTAGCCGGGGAGTTTTGCCGGCCGGCGTTGGAGCGCGCTGCCGCCAGGAGCAGATTCTTTTGCTGACCCCCCTCGGAGAGCTCCCCGGGGGAACCGGTTGAGATGTCCGTCACTGGTTGGTGGCGGGCGGGAATTGAACTCCGAGTGGAGTTTGTGTGTTCTACCCCTGTGGTGCAGATTTAGTGGGCTCAACTGAGTCACGGACTTTCTCTTTGAAGGCAACACATTTATTATTCACCAACCCTTAACACAGAAGGGTTACTGCCCTTCCACCAGATAACCCATGGTGGTGGACCACCGGGCTAACTACGCTAACACACGAGGAGTTTAGCTACCACGAACGGAGACCCTGGCTTGGGTCCACGCCACGTGTTGGTGACTTCTTCTTGGACGACGTAGAATGTAGATCGTAGATGTTCAGGTGACAGTAGCAACGCTGAACCCCGGTCCCCCCGGGGACCCCGCTTAAATGCTCCCGGGCCGTGGCCGGCCCCGCCCTTGGCCACGCCCAGCTTCAAGAGAGCTCTGGCTTTCTCTCAATCTTTCTCGTCGGATCTTACCCAGTCACGTGACCACCCCCTAGCCTCCACTTGGGGCCCCTGTGTAGATCTTACTGGTCACGTGACTTCCAGGGTCAACCAGAGTGCCATGGCCTAGGGTAACCTCATCCCATGGCTGACACTCTCACACTCCCTCCTGTAGGAGTCAGCTCAGCATGCCACGCGTGGTGCCACTCAGCGCTATCCCAGTGCTCACCGAGCCCTCTCTAGGGCTGGTACTACACCCACCTACGGGGTGTCAGCGATGGCAATGCATCGCACGCCGTGCCTCGCGAGAGCCGGCATTACTAAGTGACATTCACGATGTCGCTACATACGTTTCAGTTACAGTTTATTTATTTTGGTATAGCCCTGTGAGCCATTCGGCTCTTGAATCGGGTGCAACCACAAGAAACAAAGAAACAAAAACACGAACAAGAAAACATCTTAAAGTGACTTTGTGTGACTGTGCAAACAGAAAATCCATCGCACGCCGTGCCCTCTGGGGCCGGCACCACACAGTGACATCCGCGATGTCACTACACAGAGCCTGAGTGAGTGTTGTGAGTGAGTGAGTTCTACCCCTGTGTTACAGAGTGCGTGATTGTTGTGAGTGGGTGTTGTGAGTGAGTGTGTGTGTTCTAGCCCTGTATTGTAGAGTGAGTGAGTGTTGTGAGTGAGTGAGTTCTACCCCTGTGTTACAGAGTGCGTGATTGTTGTGAGTGAGTGAGTGTTGTGAGTGAGTATGTGTTCTAGCCCTGTATTGTAGTGAGTGAGTGTTGTGAGTGAGTGTTGTAGAGTGAGTGTTGTGAGTGTGTTCTACCCCTGTGTTACAGAGTGCGTGATTGTTGTGAGTGAGTGTTGTGAGTGAGTGTGTGTTCTAGCCCTGTATTGTAGTGAGTGAGTGTTGTGAGTGTGAGTGTGTTCTACCCCTGTGTTACAGAGTGCGTGATTGTTGTGAGTGTTGTGAGTGAGTGTGTGTGTTCTAGCCCTGTATTGTAGTGAGTTGTGAGTGAGTGTTGTGAGTGAGTGTTGTAGAGTGAGTGTTGTGAGTGTGTTCTACCCTTGTGTTGCAGAGTGAGTGATTGTTGTGAGTGAGTGTGTGTGTTCTAGCCCTGTATTGTAGAGTGAGTGAGTGTTGTGAGTGAGTGAGTGTTGTGAGTGAGTGGAGTTTGTGTGTTCCAGCCCTGTGTTGTAGAGTGAGTGAGTGTTGTGAGTGAGTGTTGTGAGTGTGAGTGAGTGTGTTCTACCCTTGTGTTGTAGAGTGAGTGTTGTGAGTGAGTGAGAGTGAGTGTGTTCTACCCCTGTGTTGTAGAGTGAGTGTTGTGTGTGAGTGTTTTGAGTGTTGTGAGTGTGAGTGAGTGTGTTCTACCTCTGTGTTGTAGAGTGAGTGTTGTGAGTGAGTGTGAGTGAGTGTGTCATACCTCTGTGTTGTAGAGTGAGTGTTGTGAGTGTGTTCTACCCCTGTGTTGTAGAGTGAGTGAGTGTTGTGAGTGTGTGTTCTACACCTGTGTTGTAGAGAGAGTGAGTGTTGTGAGTGAGTGTGAGTGAGTGTGTTCTACCCCTGTGTTGCAGAGTGAGTGAGCGTTGTGAGTGTGTTCTACACCTGTGTTGTAGAGTGAGTGAGTGTTGTGAGTGAGTGTGAGTGTGATCTACCCCTGTGTTGTAGAGTGATTGTGAGTGTTGTGAGTGTGAGTGAGTGTGTTCTACCCGTGTTGCAGAGTGAGTGAGTGTTGTGAGTGAGTGTTGTGAGTGTTAGTGAGTGTGTTCTACCCTTGTGTTGTAGAGTGAGTGTTGTGAGTGAGTGTGAGTGAGTGTGTTCTACCCCTGTGTTGTAGAGTGAGTGTTGTGAGTGAGTGAGTGTGAGTGAGTGTGTTCTACCCCTGTGTTGTAGAGTGAGTGTTGTGAGTGTGAGTGTGTTCTACCCTTGTGTTGCAGAGTGAGTGATTGTTGTGAGTGAGTGTGTTCTACCCCTGTGTTACAGAGTGCATGAGTGTTGCGAGTGAGTGGAGTTTGTGTGTTCTACGCCTGTGTTGCAGAGTGAGTGGGTGTTGTGAGTGTGTGTGTTCTAGCCCTGTATTGTAGAGTGAGTGAGTGTTGTGAGTGAGTGAGTTCTACCCCTGTGTTGTAGAGTGAGTGAGTGTTGTGAGTGTGTGTTCTACACCTGTGTTGTAGAGTGAGTGAGTGTTGTGAGTGTGTGTTCTACACCTGTGTTGTAGAGAGAGTGAGTGTTGTGAGTGAGTGAGTGTGAGTGTGGTCTACCCCTGTGTTGTAGAGTGAGTGAGTGTTGTGAGTGTTGTGAGTGAGTGTGAGTGAGTGTGTTCTACCCCTGTGTTGCAGAGTGAGTGAGCGTTGTGATTGTTGTGAGTGAGTGTGATCTACCCCTGTGTTGTAGAGTGAGTGAGTGTTGTGAGTGTGAGTGAGTGTGTTCTACCCGTGTTGCAGAGTGAGTGAGTGTTGTGAGTGAGTGTTGTGAGTGTGAGTGAGTGTGTTCTACCCTTGTGTTGTAGAGTGAGTGTTGTGAGTGAGTGTGAGTGAGTGTGTTCTACCCCTGTGTTGTAGAGTGAGTGTTGTGAGTGTTGTGAGTGTGAGTGAGTGTGTTCTACCCGTGTTGCAGAGTGAGTGAGTGTTGTGAGTGAGTGTTGTGAGTGTGAGTGAGTGTGTTCTACCCTTGTGTTGTAGAGTGAGTGTTGTGAGTGAGTGTGAGTGAGTGTGTTCTACCCCTGTGTTGTAGAGTGAGTGTTGTGAGTGTTGTGAGTGTGAGTGAGTGTGTTCTACCCGTGTTGCAGAGTGAGTGAGTGTTGTGAGTGAGTGTTGTGAGTGTGAGTGAGTGTGTTCTACCCCTGTGTTGTAGAGTGAGTGTTGTGAGTGTTGTGAGTGTGAGTGAGTGTGTTCTACCCGTGTTGCAGAGTGAGTGAGTGTTGTGAGTGAGTGTTGTGAGTGTGAGTGAGTGTGTTCTACCCTTGTGTTGTAGAGTGAGTGTTGTGAGTGAGTGTGAGTGAGTGTGTTCTACCCCTGTTTTGTAGAGTGAGTGTTGTGAGTGAGTGAGTGTGAGTGAGTGTGTTCTACCCCTGTGTTGTAGAGTGAGTGTTGTGAGTGTGAGTGTGTTCTACCCCTGTGTTACAGAGTGCATGAGTGTTGCGAGTGAGTGGAGTTTGTGTGTTCTACGCCTATGTTGCAGAGTGAGTGGGTGTTGTGAGTGTGTGTGTTCTAGCCCTGTATTGTAGAGTGAGTGAGTGTTGTGAGTGAGTGTGTTCTACCCCTGTGTTGTAGAGTGAGTGAGTGTTGTGAGTGAGTGGAGTCTGTGTGTTCTACCCCTGTGTTGTAGAGTGAGTGAGTGTTGTGAGTGTGAGTGAGTATGTTCTACCTCTGTGTTGTAGAGTGAGTGTTGTGAGTGAGTGTGAGTGTGTTCTACCCCTGTGTTACAGAGTGCGTGAGTGTTGTGAGTGTGTGTTCTACCCCTGTGTTACAGAGTGAGTGAGTGTTGTGAGTGAGTGTGAGTGTGTGTTCTACCCCTGTGTTACAGAGTGAGTGAGTGTTGTGAGTGAGTGTGCGTTCTACCCCTGTGTTACAGAGTGAGTGAGTGTTGTGAGTGTTGTGAGTGAGTGTGTTCTACCCCTGTGGTTCAGAGTGAGTGAGTGTTGTGAGTGTAAGTGTGTTCTACCCCTGTGGTTCAGAGTGAGTGGAGTTTGTTCCCCCCCTCCTCTGCTGCATGTCTCTCCTCTGGGTTTGCACAAGGGAAGTGGTATTGGCCACACATCGCATTGCTCAAGAGTCTGCTGCCAGTCGCTCGAGTGGGACACGTGGCGCCCGCACAGCTCTAGCCAGCTCGTGCGCCGTTGGCGGTCTTCGTGGGTCTTACTTGTTCACGGCACTTGCCCCAACAGCCGCTGTGTAGGCTACACGGGGGACCTTTGTCTTTGTGTGTGCGTGCGCATGCAGCATCCATTCCTGAAACTGGCCAAGCCGCTGTCCAGCCTCACTCCGCTCATCGTGGCTGCCAAGGAGGCGATCAAGAACGCACGCTAGATTCATGCACACACGCGCACGCACGCATACACGCGCATGCACGCGCATATACGCGCATGCACGCACACAGATACATGCACACGCATGCACGCACATGCACGCGCGTGCACACGCATGCACGCGCACGTACACACGCTCGCGCATACATACGCACACACACACAACCACTCTCACACAAATGTATATGCACAAAGTGGCAGTGATGTCACCACGGCGCTTGTGCCAGGCTAGGTGCACTTTGGAGGCACGTAAAGTGGTGAAGGCTCACTGGCAGGTCACGGAACAGACCCAGCAGGTGTCGTGGGTTGGCTGAGATCACTGGCCGAAGCACCACCTGTGCCCCCTACTGTGCCAACTTGCTGTGTTTTAGCCGCCTAGCGCTCCGCTCGTTGTTGTGAGCATTACTCCACTGCTCTCCGCTGTTGCTGGAGGGCGACTGCCTCCAACTTCCCAACTAGCGTCTTTCATGAGCCTCTTCCATCGAGGCCAATCTTGACACCGCTGGTACCAGTCATCGGCAAGTCCACTCAGCTCCACGTCCTCCTGTACCACATCACTCCATCTCTTCTCTAGCCCATACCGTGCCCGTTTAGCCCCCTCTATCCGACCAAACAGAAGCTGTTTGGGCATGCGTTGGCTGGGTATATGGGGTACATGACCCAGCCAACGCAGCCTTGCTTGCCGGAGGAGCTCACCGATGGGACTGTGTCCAGATTTTTCAAGGATCTGTGAGCTACTCACACAATTCAGCCTGAAGGTTAAACCCAGGATTATTTTTACTGGCTTTCCTGAATATTTCAAACGAGCATAGATGTTTCCTGTCAAGGCAAGAATAGAGAATGGAGAGTATAATTGTGGCCGAGAAGACCCGAACCTTCGTGTGGAGCGACAGACCAGGTAGCTTCCACGCAGCGTTTGCAGCCGATGAAAAGATATTGCCGCTCGACTGATTCAGAGTGAGACCTCTGCTGCAAAACCGGAACCAGTCATAAGCACACTGCCCAGGTACAGAAACCTCACCACTCTCTCCACAACTGCCCAGTCACACAGAGGGAGTTTAGGGGGTGGAATATTTCATGGTAAGGCCCCATCTCTTAGTAGCACGCTCCAGGTTCAGCAGCAAAGCCTACAACTACTCAGTAGCACTCACCAGATCATCAGCATGTATAATGTGGTTGGCCAATAGGGAGCCATCCGTCGATCAACCTCCAATTGTATTTGTACTCGATGGAAATTCCTTTTGTACAGCCATGGACATTTTATCGAACTACATGGTCGAACATGATGTTAAATAACTAATACTTTTATATATTCCATAAAGGTCGTTAAGAATCTTCTGATCTCTAACTGCTCACCACTCCCAGGTCTAGGTTGCGATTATTTGGTGAACGGGCTTTTGTTAGCGTGGCACCCAAGCTATGGAACGCCTTGCCACTTGAAATCAGGGCAATTCAGAGTCGGTAGATAGATTTAAGTCTAATTTGAATTCCTATCTCTTTAAAGTGGCCTTCACTCTTTAGTTTGGTCAGTTGACCTGGTTCGGTTTTTGTCGCCTGCTTTTCATGCATTGCGCATTGCGATCCTAGGATAGAATAACATTTGCATTGTTATTATTATTTATAATGTATAAGTCAGAGGACATATCATTGCACGTCAAGGTGAACAGGGCCTGCCGACCATCATGATGGTACCATAGGCCTTGGCCAGGTCAATAAAGCAGAGATGGAGGTCCTCTCGAAATCCCCTACACCTCTGCACACAGAGAGAGAATATAGCCCAAACATGAAACTGCAATGGGGCCTTTCAGAGCACCTAGCAAGGCGATGTTCAATAATCCTTGCTCGGACCTTTCCTGGCACACTGAGGAGGAATATGCCCCTGTAGTTGTTACAATCTGTGTGGTCTCCCTTCTTAAAGAGGGGGACCATCAGGGCATCCTTCCAATCCTGCTTCACTGATCCAGTGTTCCAGACTGTTATTATGATGTCATACAGAGCAGTCTGCAGACAAACGCCATCCTCCCTCAGCAGTTCACTTGGTAGATCATCTCTGTCCAACACTTATCCTGGTCCCAGACTTTGTATCGCCTCTTGTAATTCCTCAACTTATACACCCTGAGCCAGCCACTCGGTTGGGATGGCTACTTCTTCTCATATTTGAGGCACGGCAGACACACATGTACAGCCACGCGAACACCAAGAGGCAAAAGCATCCTTCAGTACTCTTCAGCCCATCACGAACTACACGTTACTCTGACAGGGACCAGTCTCTCCACAGAAGAGACAGTGTGGAGCCTCCAGGGTGATAGTGGGAACCGCACCGTGCCCCGCAGGCAGTACAGGGCAAGGCTTGGGGTGAGGTGCGGTTAGGGCAGTGAGGAGTGTGACGGTGGTGTGTAGTGGTAGTGCCGTGTGTCTCGGGTCAGTGTTGCGGGCTGGGTGGAGGGAAGTTCTCCCCGATGCTGCCCTCTAACCCCGTTTCCCCCTGTGAAGTCACCACGGGTGTGACGTCACAGTTTGTGCGACATTGTGAGGCGTTATGACGTCACGACGCGTATGATGTCACACGTGATATGCGACGTCACACTCATGACGTGCAACGTCATACATGTCGCGACACGTGTGGCGTTGTAACGCCACGACGCGTGTGACGTCACAATGCAGGCGACGTCACGACCCGTGTGACGCCAATGTGTGGCGACATCACGACACGTGTGGGCGTCAATGCGGGCGACGTCACGATGCGTATGACATCACGCATGACGTCGCGACGCGTGCGACGTCACGTAACATCGTGACGCGTGTGACATCACGACGCGTTGTGACGTCGCGACGCGTTCGATGTCGCGTAACATCGTGACACGTGTGACATCGTGACGCGTCTGACATCACAACGCGTTGTGACGTCGCGACGCGTTGTGACGTCGCGACGTGTTGTGACGTCGCGATGCGTTCGATGTCACGTAACATCGTGACACGTGTGACATCGTGACGCGGGTGACATCACAACGCATTGTGACGTCGCGACGCGCTGTGACGTCGCGACGCGTGTTTTCACCACGTGGCGCCGCACGCAAGTGCCGTAGCGGCCGCTCGTCTCCGGTTTCCGTTTTACTTTCAGTCTCCGCGTCACTGCCTTTTATTACATTAAAGTCGACTCTTAGCGTTTTACTTTGAGTCTCCGTGTCACCGCCGTTTATTACATTAAAGCCGACTCTTAACGTTTCACTTTGAGTCTCCGGGTCACCGCCGTTTATTACATTAAAGCCGACTCTTAACGTTTCACTTTCATCTTCTTTGGTTCTTTCGGTAAAGTCACGTAGAATGATAATAAAAAAATAAAATAACACAATAAAATTCTCACGACGTTTCGGCCACAACGCAAGCGGCCGTCTTCAGGTGAAAACCTGTCGGGACGACGCTTGCGTTGTGGCCGAAACATCGTGAGAATTTTATTGTGTTATTTTATTTTTTATTCTCATTCTACGTGACTTTACCGAAAGAACCAAAGAAGAAAAAGGGGTTTACATATTAATAGCTGAGGGATTAGCTTGTGACTGGTCACAGAAATGGCTATGTTAAAGTCAAAACCTACACATCCACAGAGGCAACTAGTAATTTAGCATTGAAACAGCTAAAGGATTAGCTTGTGCAAATAACTGAGTGATTAGCTTGTGACTAGTCATAGAAATGGCTATGTTAAAGTCAAAACCTACACATCCACAGAGGCAACTCGTAATTTAGCATTGAAATAGCTAAGAGATTAGCTTGTGACTGGTCACAGAAATAGATGTTAAAGTAAAGGCCTACACATCCACAGAGCTTCAATTAACGCTGTTAAGATTCGTAGAGAATTTAAGCTGGTTGGGAGAAGTGAGGCACCTTGACAAAGGGGGTTTACATATCAAATAGCTGAGGGATTAGCTTGTGACTGGTCACAGAAATGGCTATGTTAAAGTCAAAACCTACACATCCACAGAGGCAACTAGTAATTTAGCATTGAAATAGCTGAGGGATTAGCTTGTGCAAATCGAAGTTTCACTTTCAGTCTCCGCGTCACCGCCGTTTATTACATTAAAGCCGACTCAACGTTTCACTTTGAGTCTCCGCGTCACTGCCGTTTATTACATTAAAGTCTATTTAACGTTTCACTTTGAGTCTCTGCGTCACCGCCGTTTATTACATTAAAGCCGATTGCACCGCTGTCCCCAGGGTGCAACCATGGGTGGAGGCCGGCTGTGCGTGGCGGCGTTATGCGACGCATCGGGGTCCAGTCGACCACCAGGGGACCCCGAATCAACAGACATGAGCAATTGGGAAATAACAGTACCCGGGAACAAAACAAAAAATTGTTACACAGTGTTATTCAAATAAAACAAATATTCCAACAATTAACCATGAATTCTAAAAACATTGTTACAAATGGAACAAAAAAATTCGAAAAAAATGCGCACAGCGTAAAATCTGTTAGCGTTACTTCTCGTGTTACTGAGCTCTGTGATGCCGCCGCCACGGAGCCGATCGGCGGGTGGCCCACCTGCGATCTCGCCGCTCCGAGCGGCGAGGCAGACATTGCTCCACCCCACCACCTCCCCACCCCCCCCCCACCGGAACACACACGCACGCACTCCCCCCCACCATTAGAGCGCGTGGGGAGACACCCTGGCCGACAGGTTTTCACCCAGAAGCCCTCGTAAAGGGATAATCTTCACGGTTTCCTGCAGCCAGGGAATTGGACGGTCTCCCCCGACGCTAACACCCACCGCGGCGCCGTGACTTTGGTTGTAATTACATGGTCACGACGGGGCTGCCGAGCCACCGCGGGTAGACAGCACACACAACACACACGGGTCAGCAGGCAGGTAGGAGGGCAGAGCCACGAGCGGCGGGAAAGCAGGGTCGCCCTCTGGCTGGAGGGTCGCTGAGCAGGTAAATTTAGATGCGGACGTCGCTGAAAGCAACGGCCCGGGGGATGCTGGGATACAGATGGGCCTACCGATTGGCGGGTGATCCCAGCGAGCTGATTGGCCCGCGAGTCGGCACCCGGTAGCCCCTTTGATGTAGAAAGAATAAAGCGGGTCAGGGCGAAG